GTCTTCTTGCAGGTTACGGAAAGGGGTGAGTGGAACAGTTCCGATACAAATAATTTAAAAACTCCGTGGAAGTGTGCCGGACTTCTGATTTTGTTGCCCAGAACAATGGTGCGGACATAATATAAATTCAGCTGATATATCAAAGAAACCGCAAAATTTAGAGTGACCGATTGTTTGTCCGATATGCAAAGCACGGCGCTAATTGACTTTTTTTATAGGCTACCATTGCATATTGTACTGCCACGCTATTGTGTACTGCCATTGTAATTGTCGTGCAGAAATTTGTATTGATTTGTAAACCTAGATAAATTTGTAATACATTAAAATTGTGTTGATTGTAAAACTCTTTTTGGTTGTTTCTTGGTTTCACACTAAATTCTTTTACGTACAGATTCCTGGGTTAACATATTATTCAATTTAGGGATCGAAACGTAAAATTAGCAATTATCCCAGTAGTTTATCCAGATTCCCTATGGTTAATTCTGACTCGATCGCCGAATGACAAGGGCGACGCCATGTTTGTAAAAACCTTTGATATTTGCATTTCTATCAGCATATGACCATAACGGATATCGTTTTTATCCGTTGGCTTTATCCTGCCGAGAAGCCTGCCCATTATATGATACATATGGAATATTAATTTAGATACAGCCTATTTAGATACTACTATTAAATAGAAATTGATAGTAAGCAGCTACCTTTGCAACATCGTAGAATACCTACAAGCTGAGCTGGCAAGGTCGGGATACGTGTGTCTCATGTATTCAAAATGAATATATATAACACATACGAAGACAACTCGCAAAAAGAGTGATTAGAGTCTCTAAAGTACATGAGACGTTTATTCATAAATAGGTAAAAGCATTGCATTGCATTGCATGAATCACAAGTAATTTGTTATAATATTCATACATATTCCAATTTTATCCAAGAAACCAATCGCAAATATTAAATGTCATTTTGATAATATAGATGTGTACCTTCCAAGAAACTGGCTGGAATGACAATACAAAGTAGACAAAGTAGACACAATTTATGGATAACAACTTCTTTAATACTGTAAAAAGCGACGTTTCCGTGTAGATCCTTATACCGTTGTCAAGAAGGACTCTTGAGTCTACACCGAAACGTCGCTTTTAACAGTTTTAAAGAAGTTGTTATCCATAAATTGTGTCTTCTTTATCATCCGTCAACTTCTAAGTAATACTTATCAAACAATTCATTTAATAGTCATGACAAAAGTGTGACAAAGACATCTTGACCAAATCCACTCAAATCTGACCGCTGGTACTGGACAATGGTAGCAAGAATTTGTCCACACGAAAACAAAACAAAAATTGAAGATGATGTCAGTGTGTTCCGAGAGAAAAAGAAATTAAATAAAAAACAATCATCAATCTCATATCTTAGTTCTCACTGCCGCTAAACAAACATCTGAGGACATCCCATTACGGGTCACGTCAGACCGGCCTTTTGCGAACCCTGACCGACCAATGGAATTACTGACAAGAAGTCGACATTAGCCAATCAGAAGGCAGCTTTCTCGTGCTTTACGGGACTAATTTCAAATTGGCGACTACGCTTCGAAACATATTTTGACAAATTCTCGCATCGCTTTTTTACAAATTTGAAACCTGAACAAAAGAACATTCCCGAATGGCTAATACATGGTCTAGATTGTATAGATTCAGTCGTTAAGATCGTAACTATCGTTCGGAATACCCCGTTTTAAAGTTTTCGAGGCTGCATGATGAGAAATCACATTCCGACTGTCGCTTTCATGATCTGGTAAGCGACGCTCCGATTGGTCGGATGAAAGGTCGTCCTGACGTGACCCCTAATGGGATGTCTTCAGATCTTTGTTTAGCAGTAGCGAGAACTAAGATCTGATTTTAATTAGATTGAACAATCATAAACAACAATAAGTTATAACAAGTTATTGCCAGGCAATAAGAAAATCGGATCTGGCGGCATTCTGATTTAGGATTAGTTTGACTTATACCATATGTTCTCGTGTGTTGCCAGGTGAAGAATTGCCTTGCTTTTTCATGTGTTTGTGACGTGTGCCACCGGTCGGGGGTACGCTCACCTTTTCCCGAACACCCAGTACCTCACCACATGATGGTGACACACGGACACACGATGGTGACACATGGACACTTGATGGTGACACATGGACACACGATGGTGACACATGGACACACGATGGTGACACATGGACACTTGATGTTGACACATGGACACACGATGGTGACACATGGACACATGATGTTGACACACGGACACACGATGGTGACACATGGACACTTGATGGTGACACATGGACACATGATGTTGACACACGGACACACGATGGTGACACATGGACACTTGATGGTGACACACGGACACACGATGGTGACACACGGACACACGATGGTGACACATGGACACTTGAAGGTGACACATGATATAGTAGGTATTGAACCACTGGTCTTCTATGAATATGTAATACGTCGCTATTATTTATATAACGGTAAACATAAACGTGAAAGGGGAACTAAGCATTCGGTTATAAAATAGGAGGGATTGTAATTTGGAAGGATAGTAATAACTGCATAGCAAATCCGTTAAGGCGAGATGTGACCCCCGCCTCATACGGCAGCGTGGAATGTATACTCCCCATGGAGCCGAGAATGACATATGACCGATCCAGGTAATAATAAGGTAGCTACATGACGGCAGTCTGTAATTAATCGAGTCTGGACCCGACATTCCGGTGATTGATATCATGAATATCGATCCACGCAATTGGTTTCCTTGTACCAATGCCGTCAAAAGTAAGGTACCCTAGTAATTGGCATTTGGGAAATGAAGTACATGTGCGAAGTCAGCGAAGCTGATCTCCCCATCCTTTTTGTCGCCTTTTACGGAAAGCAAGGGTTGCTTGAGACCTATTCTAACCCGGGTATTCACCGGTCCCATATATATGGAATAAAGGCTCGCGTAAAACCATTTTTACTTATAATATACGAAAATAGGAAAACACATTCAGCAAATAATCTCATTATCTGTCAGTGCAGTCTTCAGTATGAGAATGGTACTGCTTTACTGGAGGGCAAACATACTGTCCTACCATAAGAAGACCGGACAAGAGCAGCATGACTTCAGTCACAAGAATAGGTCCAGATGTTGGCAGCTTTCCTTCCCACCCGATCACTTTGCGCTTGGTTGTATAGACTACGCTGCGTTGTAACCAGCAGTATTAATGATATTATTGGCGTGAAAATTTAGGATTGAAACTTTTCTAGTCCAGACCCCAGTGCAAAGCGATCTTCGGCTCTCGTTTTGTTTGTTTGTCTTTGTTTGTGCTCATCAGTATACAAGCTATATGACAGCTGCCTGCAAATAATCCGATTATGGACCAGACAAACCAGTGATTGATATCGTTAGCAACATCTTACAATTCTAACTCGGAATCTCCGCGAGTGTACAACGACAGAGTCGTTAGGCCCAAATCGTAAGAGTGGCTGAGCGCTGAGATCGTTGCTCAAATTTGTGTCGTTGTTCCTCTTGGATAGGTTAATATTTTGGGACCTATTTGACTATTTGAGACACCCCTCGAAGATCCGCGTTAGAATTGGTCTTCAGCAACCTATGCTTGTACCCCCGTGAAGATCCGCGTTAGAATTGGTCTTCAGCAACCTATGCTTGTACCCCCGTGAAGATCCGCGTTAGAATTGGTCTTCAGCAACCTATGCTTGTACCCCCGTGAAGATCCGCATTAGAATTGGTCTTCAGCAACCTATGCTTGTACCCCCGTGAAGATCCGGGTTAGAATTGGTCTTCAGCAACCTATGCTTGTACCCCCGTGAAGATCCGCGTTAGAATTGGTCTTCAGCAACCTATGCTTGTACCCCCGTGAAGACCCGCGTTAGAATTGGTCTTCAGCAACCTATGCTTGTACCTCCGTGAAGATCCGCGTTAGAATTGGTCTTCAGCAACCTATGCTTGTACCTCCGTGAATATCCGGGTTAGAATTGGTCTTCAGCAACCTATGCTTGTACCCCCGTGAAGATCCGCGTTAGAATTGGTCTTCAGCAACCTATGCTTGTCCTAAGAAGCGCCCAGTGGGAACGGGTCGTCATGCACTCTGACTTAGTAGGTGCATGTTGCTGTATTCAAATGACGTAGATCGATGCTCATGATGTCAATCACTGGATTGTCTGGTCCAAACTCGATTATGTACAAGTCGCCGTCAAAGAGCTGGAATATTGCTGAGTGCTGCGTTAAACAACAAACAAACAAATAAATTGAAAACACATGTGTTATGTTTCGATAGTAACAGTTATCACGACAAGGATGTAGCTTCAGTATCAGATCACAAACTCTCGACCCATCTTCCCCCAATACATGTTCATGTTATGGGTAATTGCTCACTCCTGCTATGGGAACACGAGTCCACCACAGTTTCCAAGTTGCCGTAGTCTGCTATGCAGAGTTGCGTCCCTTTGTTTGTGCGACGATTTACAGATCATGGGTTGGAATTCAAGATTCATCCTGGTTTGTGACACTGGTACGTCAGCATCGTGGATTTAACTTGAAACAGAACCCAACTCGCAGCTTCCGTTTTTCCTCTCAAGCTAACACGCTGTGATAAAAACTGAAATACTGTTTAAAGGGTCATTAAAAGAAGTCACTCACTCACCCATCCACATTCCCTCACTCACTCAACCACTCACTCACCAACACTGACTGACTCACTCACTCACCCCCGCACCCTCACTCACTCAACCACTCACTCACTCACCCACTCTGAGAGGTGAGATGAAATGGGGTTTAACGTCGCGTCCAAGATTATTGCACTTATATAGCGACGTGCATGTACGTGTCTCTGTGTGTGTGGCTGCTTGCACTAGTCCGGACTGATGCCGATTTATAGTGCTAGCTCACTGAGATACCATGCCGCAGTTTAACATGAATACCCCACTCAGACACAGTATACTGACTCCGAGCCGACCAGTCCTTGTTTTAGCCCCTTAATGCCGAGCGCCAGACAGGGTAACAACAAGTACCATCTTTTAACGTCTTTTGGTATGACGCTCTCCAGGCGGACGCTCCACCACTAGACCACGGAGGCAGTCTTCACCCACTCTGACTCATTCACCAAAACTGACTGACAGACTCACTCAACCACTCAACCACTCACGCACCAACACCCCACGCTCGCTCACTCACTCACTCACTCACTCACTCCATCCCGATCCAGGACGGAGGGAAGTAATCAGAGGCTACATACTGAGTTGCCAACCACGTGCCATTTTTCGGAAAGTTCTTGTAATAGATCGTCTCCCCTCCGGCCAGCCACGCCCCCCACCACCCGTAGGTCCCCGTGGAGATGATGCTGTGGTTGCAGCTACTCAGCGTCGCCAGGTCGACGTTTTCATTCTTATGAAGAAACTCCACGTCCTTTTCCTTCCCAAACTGAGTCCTACCCCAATTTATATCATCAGAACACACAATGAATAAAGGGTCTTTCAACTTGCTTCTAAAATACGCCATTGCCTTTTTGAAATACGTCGCGGGGGCAACGGTATAACCCCTTTTGGCAGATACAGGAACTCCCATGTCACCACGCCGGATGTGAACTCCGACCTTTGGACGACCTTTACCTTTAGCCTCGAGTTGAGCAAAATAGTCTCTGACAGGTGTGCGAATGTTCTCCTTGAACGTAAACTCTTTTCTCACGATGTCGACGACGTCTGCAAAGTATCGCCACGACTGGTAATACCCACCGAGCCTCCAGCTCAAGTCTCTTCGCATTGTCTCGACGCAAGGGTCGTAGGAAGCAGCTGCCTTCTCAAAATACACCGGCAGGTTTGTGTATTGGGTTTGCGATATGTGCGACAGCTCGAATGTTTTCGCCAGGTTCTCGTTCTGAAACACATACGGCGTAAAACCATGCCGATGCGCCAAGCCCATCAATGCAGCATACTGGAACATCTTGTTGCCAAGACGACCGACACCGGCCAGCACCACAACCTTGGGTGACACATTCCCAGTAAGCGAGACGGAGACTGTACTGGTCAATATTGTCCTTGACGGGGATGGATCATTCAAAGTTTCATTGCTGCTGTCGGTCAGATTCCCAATGTTGCCCCCTGCGATGACCATGTGGGATTGGGGCAGACCGCGCATGAGCCAGAGAATCGGAAGTCCGGTGGAAAACAGGACCAGTGCGCATGTCATTCTCACCAGCAACTGTCTGACCTTCATCGTGACATTGACGGTATATCATGACCTTGACCTTAGGGTTGGCTCGTTCTTGTCAGGCGTACCTATTAAATACAAAACATGTGATAATATACCGAAAATAACACTTTGAATTAAAACATCCTCGAACACAAATGGTAGAGATATATTAGTTGGTTGGTTTGTTGTTTACGCCGCACTCAGCAATATTCCAGCTTATGACGGCGGTCTGTAAATAATCGAATCTGGACCAGACAATCCAGTGATTGACATCATGAGCATCGATCCACGCAATTGGGATCGTGACATGCATCAACCAAGTCAGCGAGCCTGACCACTCGATCCCGTTAGTCGCCTTTAACGACAAGCATAGTCTCCCTTTACGGCAAGAATGGGTTGCTATATTAAGTTGAGTGAAGTTTATGTCTTGGTTAATGTTTGTTTTCGATGCATTCAGGATACCAAGCCTCCGTTCCACGTAAAATCTATGTTAAAGTTACGTTGTGGTAGGGGGCCCAGCTACTTCTAAATACTCGACTCAGGGTCAGGCAAACGAGTGGCTGATGTCATGAACAACTTTCCACGCCATGCAATAAGAACCTTTAGTTTTACTATATAACTGATAGTGTTATTATGCAATAAATCGTTCCGATAAAATTGGTATCACGATCCGATAAGTATGCAAATGAGGTACCAATCAGAAACTACTTTAAAGATCCATACATTGAGGACGAACTCTCTACTTGTTCAATAACCCATTCACCAACAAGCTAAGTTTTACGCAGTTTTATAAATTCTGAAAAAATGAACCTTTTGCGATAATTACGGTCGTGGGGCACTGGGCTGACATCTCTCTTTGCAATCTAAGGGAGTTGTATGAATCTAGTACTCAATTGTCTACTCCATGGTGTAAAATGAAAGATCGATTTGAAATAAAGAAAGTTCTAAATGTTGTCTAAGTAAAGTTTTACTAACGACAAGTACTCCAATGTGTAGCCACTTTTTATCCTACACCGATATAAATACAGTAAACTACGGTTATAACGAACACGCTTATAACGAACTGACGGATATAACGAACTTACTTTTTTGGTCCCGACTGTTTGCTGTAGTTATGCTGTATATATGCTTATAACGAACTACGGTTATAACGAACTAAAATTAGCAGTCCCCTTGAGCTCGTTATAACCGTACTTTACTGTACGTGCGACGAAATGTTTTGTTTATCAGCTTTGTGGGAGCTGTGATCGAACAAAAGAATGCCTTTTTTCCTGAACGACAAAGCGTGCACAACCTCAATTCCGTATCCTCTGCCCTTCATTGTCGTAATTTGACACTTCTGATTGAGGTTATGTATTACGAGATTCTTTCGATACGAAAATTTACTTTTTGTATGTGGCGAAAATCAATTTTCCGCTCAATCTCATTAAAATCAGATCTTAGTTCTCGCTACCGCTAAACAAAGATCTGAGGACATCCCATTACGGGTCACGTCAGCACGACCTTTCATCCAACCAATCAGAGCGTGGCTTACCAGATCCTGAAAGTGACAGTCGGAATGGGTTTTCTAGTCATGCAACCTCGATATATTTATCACAGGGTATTCCGAACGACAGTTACGGGTTTTATGATTATATCCATACAATCTAGGCCATCTATAAGCCATCCCAGAATGTTGTTTTGGTCCGTTTTAATTTTTTTTAATCGAAAATACGTTAAAATATGTTTCGAAGCGTCGTCGCCAGTTTGAAACCAGTGCCGTAAAGCTCGAGATAGCTGCCTTCTGATTGGCAAATGTCGAATACTTATCAGTCATTTCATTGGTCATCTGTATCTCACAGTAAACACACAATCTCCACTACTCTCTATCTCACAGTAAACGCACAGTCTCCACTACTCTGTATCTCACAGTAAACACACAGTCTCCACTACTCTGTATCTCACAGTAAACACACAGTCCCCACTACTCTCTATCTCACAGTAAACACACAGTCTCCACTACTCTGTATCTCACAGTAAACACACAGTCTCCACTACTCTGTATCTCACAGTAAACACACAGTCTCCACTACTCTGTATCTCACAATAAACACACAGTCTCCACTACTCTGTATCTCACAGTAAACACACAGTCCCCACTACTCTGTATCTCACAGCAAACACACAGTCTCCACTACTCTGCATCACACGGTAAACACACAGTCCCCACTACTTTGTATCTCACAGTAACACGGTCTCCACTACTCTGTATCTCACAGCAAACACACAGTCTCCACTACTCTCTATCTCACAGTAAACACACAGTCTCCACTACTCTGTATCTCACAGCAAACACACAGTCCCACTACTCTGTATCTCACAGTAAACACACAGTCTCTACTACTCTGTATCTCACAGCAAACACACAGTCCCCACTACTCTGTATCTCACAGCAAACACAGTCTCTACTACTCTGTATCTCACAGCAAACACACAATCCCCACTACTCTGTATCTCACAGTAAACACACAGTCTCCACTACTCTTTATCTCACAGTAAACACACAGTCCCCACTACTCTCTATCTCACAGTAAACACACAGTCTCCACTACTCTGTATCTCACAGTAAACACACAGTCTCCACTACTCTGTATCTCACAGTAAACACACAGTCTCCACTACTCTGTATCTCACAGTAAACACACAGTCCCCACTACTCTGTATCTCACAGCAAACACACAGTCTCCACTACTCTGCATCACACGGTAAACACACAGTCCCCACTACTTTGTATCTCACAGTAACACAGTCTCCACTACTCTGTATCTCACAGCAAACACACAGTCTCCACTACTCTGTATCTCACAGTAAACACACAGTCTCCACTACTCTGTATCTCACAGCAAACACACAGTCCCACTACTCTGTATCTCACAGTAAACACACAGTCTCTACTACTCTGTATCTCACAGCAAACACAAAGTCCCCACTACTCTGTATCTCACAGCAAACACAGTCTCTACTACTCTGTATCTCACAGCAAACACACAGTCCCACTACTCTGTATCTCACAGTAAACACACAGTCGCCACTACTCTGTATCTCACAGCAAACACAGTCTCTACTACTATGTATCTCACAGCAAACACACAGTCCCCACTACTCTGTATCTCACAGCAAACACACAGTCGCCACTACTCTGTATCTCACAGCAAACACAGTCTCCACTACCCTGTATCTCACAGTAAACACACAGTCCCCACTACTCTGTATCTCACAGTAAACACACAGTCTCCACTACTCTGTATCTCACAGTAAACACACAATCCCCACTACTCTGTATCTCACAGTAAACACACAGTCGCCACTACTCTGTATCTCACAGCAAACACACAGTCGCCACTACTCTGTATCTCACAGCAAACACAGTCTCCACTACCCTGTATCTCACAGTAAACACACAGTCTCCACTACTCTGTATCTCACAGTAAACACACAGTCCCCACTACTCTGTATCTCACAGTAAACACACAATCCCCACTACTCTGTATCTCACAGCAAACACAGTCTCTACTACTATGTATCTCACAGTAAACACACAATCCCCACTACTCTGTATCTCACAGTAAACACACAGTCGCCACTACTCTGTATCTCACAGCAAACACAGTCTCTACTACTATGTATCTCACAGTAAACACACAATCCCCACTACTCTGTATCTCACAGTAAACACACAGTCCCCACTACTCTGTATCTCACAGTAAACACACAATCCCCACTACTCTGTATCTCACAGTAAACACGGTCTCCACTACTCATCCTGTCTCTGACTTAACTCCCAGCCGACTCTTGATTTCGTGACTGGTTTCGCTACCCCAATCCCGGATCCATCTGCCGCATGTACAGGCTGCAATGGACGCGGTCCTCGAGCAAATAACAGTTATCACGTGGTACACTTGGGCAGTTTTAAAACGAGCAAGTTTAACAGAAACACACACGGAGCAATAAAAATCACTTTAACACCAAGTTAAAATGTCGACACACATACCTTCTCCCTAGCCACCCGCACCCGACACCAACCCTGACCTCTCACACTGGCCTCTCCTGACAGGTAGGACTCCGTCTCACTGTTTATATTGCAAACGCTTCAGAGAGTTTCTATGCGGCTCTCTTTGCTTGGGTGCACAAAGAAGCTTATCAACTGGGAGCTCCGGTGAATGCTTTTTGAATTCGTCAACCACACGGGAAACCAGTTTTAAAAAGTCGCAAATGTTTACAATAATAGTCCAGGCGAAAGTTTGCGTCAGTAAATGTAACCCCACGAATGTGTAAACTCTTGAGTCGCACATTCCTAGATGGCAACGTTTTTTTATATATATTCTTTTCCAAATGTTGACAACAGATTTGTACAAATATTGACGAAGATTTTAGTGCGACCTCAAGTGTATGTGAACTTGCTGGTTGACTGGGCGGTATTGTCATCACACATTATAAGTAGTCTGTGTAAATTGTTAATTCATAAATATGCACCTTCCCATGTTAAGGGCGTTAACTGACAATACAAGTTTCCACGGACCCCATAGTGAGTTAAAGGGCAAGTTCACACGGAAATTAACCTATTAACCTAGAAGTGTCATAGACAAAAATATAAAAATATCACAATTAATTAACATATTTTTCGCATTAAAACGATTAATATTTTTCACATTTACCAAGTGTTCTATTTCCACAACAAAAACACCATGGCTTATGCCCCTTGCAATATGACGTCATTGGTGCCAATTGATAAACATTATGACGCCATCATGCTTTGTTAGAGCCGCTTCACGTGGTGTAGGTCTAGGTGTGTGATTCTAGCGTCTCAGATGCCAGCCAGCATAGTGTTATGCTGAGTCACCACTGCGCCGAAGTGTGTCGTAGGCCATGTTGTTTTACCGCAAACTTGTACTTGATATCTTTTGCGTTGAGAATAGACAGGGACCCAGTTGAATTGGCACCAATTACGTCATAATCTAAGGGGGATAACTCAGGCCTGTTTAGCTCGAAAAACGAAGGCCTCATAACGGCATATCATTTTCACACTATTGTGAGCTTCCTACTTTCA